TAACGAGTTCCATTCCACTGATCGTTGGAAGATCATCCGGAGTAACGCGTTTGGTCTGTGAATGATTAATCCTTACAGAATCTAATCTGTTACTCTCGAAGCTGTGAGTCTACACAGTTGTTCATGCGGTTTATCAACACTCCGTTGAAAACACTCCCTAGTACTGAAGGCAGTGTGATTTCTCTGTAGTTCTCACATTTCCTCAGATCCACTTTCTTTTCAATCTTGATGAAATGTCATTCTTTTCAGACAATAGACTGCATCTCAATGGCACATAACTATCAGAGAATTCTTATTTAAAAGAAATCTGAATGTGAAATGTAGGGGCAAACATTGCAGAAAACCGGTCGACACACAGCAATACTAGAAGCCTGAATAATCGAAAGGATAACAGAATATGCATAAAGCTGTCAAAAGATACACCATTGGAATCAAACTTGCTACTGTATGTAATGCGAGCAGCCAATGTAAGAAAATACATAAAAGAATTCAGAGTAAACAAAGTGTAAGCAGATGAAATCACATGAGTTGTTAGAAAGAAAAATAAGTAAAACAACAAGAAACGGTGTAAAAAGTACATAAATCAGAATAAGATGAAATCACTGACAAATTGGATGTTAGATCAAGGGTACTAGTGAAATGTACCAGTATTGAATGATAATAAACAACATTTGTTGTAGTACAAATCACTTCTATCCACATAGAATTAGTGGAGTGTTGAGTAAGTCTCGGCCTATGCTCTGTTGGGAGTAACGGGCGTAAGTAAGTACGTAAGTAGTAAGACTGAAATTTTGAATTGAACAAAATAGGTCAATGAAAATGGGGTTCCCTCCTTCACTGTCTGTTTACTGAATCGGAAACATTCAAATATCCTCGCATTCTGTAAATGTCTCATTCATCAATATTGAAACGTATTGTGGCAAGTTACATGGTCTGAGAGTGAAGACCGGGATTGTTTGTTCTGAAGTCACAATCACTGTGTTCATTGATTTCGCTCAAACTATGAATGGATTCTTAAACACTTCGTACCTGCATTCCACACATTTCATATTTCAGTTCACGTCACAGTATTTTGAAATTACTCACCTTACTTTTCTACTCTTCATGATTTAATTAAATTTTTGCATTTTGGAATTGACTCTGGTACTTAGTAGATCAAGGGCTTAAATTGAAAATACTTGCAATGTGAACATTGAATTTTGTCACATTCATAATTGCACATAGTTGACTGAAATTATTCTTCGGACACATAGGATTACCCATATTGAAATCGAAACGTATCAAGTGATTTCTCAAATCACTGACCAAATATTCAAATGCCTATATAAGGTCAATTCAAAATCATTTTGAACCTCATTCTAACCATATCTTTGAAATTGAACAACGGAAACTACATTCATCTGAGAAACACTCATGCACAAATGATATCGTAAACTTCATAATTCAAAATTATGTTATTTAAAATGTTTGCTTTCCTATTACATAATCATCAAATATTAACAATGTGTGAATCGATTCTCAGCTGAATGCAATCCATATTTCATCCATTATAATCACACCACTTGAATAAAATCAGGCTATTTATTGTGAAGGATCAAATATTTTCTTCGGAGCATATTTCTCGCCTGAGATTAATACGTGGTGTCCTCGGTTGGTTCGAAATCTTGTTATGGTATTTCCAGCAAAGCTGTGCAATGACTTCTTCAATATTTAATCTGCCAATACAGTCACTCATCTTTAGTTGCTAAAACCACAAGATGTAATCACATATTACAAGCAAAAGTTTAACTGAGACCGAAATGGAATGACGAATTATGAAGAGTATATTAATGTCAACTGTTTCTTACGTAGTGGAACATGTATATTGGAAACACAATGCACTGCAATAAAATACTTACTTACGACTGTTACCCCTCGTGGAGGAGCATAGGCCACACACAGGCATTCTCCATTCAACCCTGTTCTGGACAATTCTTTCAAGTTCTTCCCAGTTGTTATTCATCCCTTTTATATCTGCTTTCATTTCTCGGCATAATTTGTTCTTCCGCCCTCCTCTTTTCCGGTTCTCTTCCGGATTCCAAGTAAGGCCTGCCTCTTGATGCAGTTTGGTTATTTCCTTAATGTATGTCCGATCCACTTCCAACGTCTTTTCCTAATTTCCTCTTCAGCTGGAAGCTGGTTTGTCCTCTTCCACAGTAGGCTGTTGCTGATAGGATTCGGCCAGTGAATGTTGAATATTTTGGTTTATCAATGGATGGGCTATAAATGTGTCTACTTATTTCACAATTTCCTTCAAAGAAGAAACATAGGTAGTGTGAATTAACCTTTGGATTAAGAGTAAAGTCGTATGAAGATTATCACTTGGGATTTAATGTATGATTGTTGTAAATGCTTAGATTGATATCATGAATGGATCAGTGTTATGCCACTATTGAAAACCTAGAAGCACTAGACGGTCGTTTCGTCTCAACAGTGTGCATTGCTTTTTCACACGTGAGGCTCAAACCCATGTCTTTTAGTCTCGCGTGCGATCGCTAAAACTGTAGTCCGCTGAGCTGTCATCTAATTGTGTCGGTGTTTAATTTCATGAAAATAATGTACTAGTATTAACAGAACGATGTGCATAGTAACCGGTAGAAGTAACCTGAAAAATTAAAATAAAACGTTCAGTAGAATTGAGTGATAGATATAGGAAATCAGGATAACGTACACGGATAAACGTTCAAATAGGCGCATTGATTGATGAAAACGAGAAAAATTAGACAAAATGCTGTTCAGCTTACTACAGAAATAATAAACATTACATGTGAATTGGCTGAAAGCATGTAAGTTCATCCTTTTCAATATACCTACAGATTTTCCACTTATTTGTCAGCCAGCAAGGCTAAGAATCTGCGTATGTATATACGACTATATACTCCTACGAGAATGAGACTTTTCAGTTCCTGTTATAACCAGATTGAACACGCAGTATTCTAACCAGTTCTTGAGTGTGTGTGTGTGATACTATCGATTTTATCACTTGGCTGATCTAGTAGAAATCCGAGAGCCTGAATAAGTACTTGGCTTTCAACGTATAAAAACTTGAAATAAGGTTAAGCTTGCAGAAATCTTATAGCTTCAACTCACCTTAGGTTTCTGGAGTATTGCATTTTTTGTTCGGGAATGGAACTCAAAAACTAAAAATTACGCAGGCAGTGGTCTGAAGGAAAGACATTACAGTATAGTCCATAGTTGTTTGAGGTCAACTCTGAACTAATCAACCTAAGCTGTTACAGATATACTGTTTGGGACAAGTTATGTCTTTCCGATCAAACCATGAAATGTTTGTCCCAGAACGATCGTATCAAAATTGTCGTTATAAAAAATAATTCACTATTCGATAGCTGTGGAAGAAAAACGCGTTTTATTTTAAACATGGATCCACCATTCTTAACTTTGTACAACTCGTTTAGCGATGTCAACAACGTTTCCCTGATAATCCTCAGCAAAATGTTTCCTCGTTCGTAGTTCCTCCTTCCACGGTAACATAGATTTCGTAAACTTTGAAGCCTAATCTCTGACCTTAAGGTCTAGTTGCTTCTGCCCATAGAGAGAGTTCTGAGGTGGAATCCTACAGTTACAGACTGACGGCTCCACCTCGTGGTTAAGAAAGGTATAAAAAGAGATAATAATGAAATACCCGTAGATTATTTACTTAAAACTTCTAATCCCAGCACAGATATGTTCCGAGTAAAGTGTGTAACATTAACCTAGTCACCGTCAACATGAGTTGTACACTACTAGATAGTCTGTGTTTATAGGACTCATAAATTACTCCATGGCTGTCAACGGGCTTTACCATCAGATTATTTGTTTGAGAAAAGGACCAGTCATTATGAGGAGGTATTTTAATAGACCGCTATAGGACTGTTGAGTCGGAGAGAATACCAAGTATCAGAGATGGATCTAAGTTGACAAAATGGTCTATAAACGAAAGAAGAGTGCCACAACTTTGCATAATTAAGGTATTTATCTTCTAATTTTTTATCAGTCACCTAGCAAAAAGGTTCTCGGACTATTATTTATGTCGTTACTAATAATATTCCAAGGTGTGCGTATATGACCCCAAAGTATCTCTACACCATGACTTGAATCAATTATTGGTTAGATTAAAGGAAATTCAGGTTCTCCTACCATGAGTAATTACAAAATTCTAAAGGTTACTAGTAAAGCATATTGTCTATGTGCCATGTTGCCGATTCCAGAATCACGCTTTCCATCAACAAAAGCAGCTAGGTATTGCTCTATTTAATAAGACAGATATCGTCTGTTGAAACTCTGCGCCCTACGAAGAACACAGTATGATAGGGTTTCTCACAGTTACTTTTAGTAGCCTGACTCTGAACCTATTCAGGAAAATTTTCAATACTTAATCTTGAATACTCTACTACATCACAATACCTCAAGCAGAGTATTATTTTCTTGTAACGAGTTAGAAGAAGATCAAGCGAAACCATAGACGTACTGAAGAAAATCACTTATCCAGCTAGTCTGCATGGAATAAACTTCGGGGTAAAGTACGAAAGAACGTAATGCTTGCGACTTATATGCTGTGTAACTAGCTGATAGCAGAAACACTGATTCCACTTTTCCTTCCCTTCTTCATGGGAAAGCCTAGTGGTTCACTTTGGTATCAACGGGACTTAGGGAAACTGCTCATGGGGTCATCGTTTAATCTCCCTGTAGTGGACCTCAGTTAAAAACCATTAAGCATCAGTTTCAACTTTGATATTCCTGAGGAACAAAAAAGGTAGTTATAGTACGTTTTACCCGAGAAAACACCTTTCAACTCAGTAGAACATCAAAACGAATCAGGAGTTTATTTTTCCTAATCAACAGATTTTAGAGTTTTTACTACATGATAAGATTGTGTAGACCTACGACTTCGGAAGTAGTTTATTAAAATATAAGCTCATTATCTTTGAAATAATAGTTTCGGCATAATTTAAAGTGAAAGGGTTTAAGTAAAACTGTGAACTTTTTCAGTTCACATCACTTTTTATATCTGCCACAATATTTAGTTCAGTGACCTTTTCAGAAGAAAACTTACCCGCAATAGTTGAATTCCACCTTTGTCATCCTCGCGTGCTATGTTTCTTACTAGGACAGAGTATGATCGTGGAGTTAATACGTTTTCCCCCGAGGGACGACTCTTCCAAGTAGAATACGCCATAGAAGCTACAAAGGTTGTGTTTTGTGTTATTATTAACGTTCTAAACAGCTGGGTTCAACGGGAATCGGGATCAAGACAAGTGAGGGTGTTGTTATGGCTGTAGAAAAACGGGTAAACTCAACTTTAATCATACCATCCAGCATTGAAAAGATTTTTGAGGTGGATAAGCACATAGGTAAGCCGTTTTGAACCTTCATGATTTCACCTAACAATTAATGGAAATGACGCACTTTAATGCAACACGACTTATAGAAGCTTTATTTATGACAGACATAGTCGTTATGACGAAGACTTTGGGGTTAAGACAAGATGTGACTAATTTGCCTTTTATCCAAGTTGCATGTTGAATGATGATAATTGATAGGCCTGTATTTAGATGACCAGGTTTTCCTGTAATCTATCATATAAGTAGTACATACAAAATACGTCTGGGCAAGCTTTCCTCTTGCCTTGTATCTTCATAACCGAATCAAAATTCATGTTTACCAAGTAAACCATCTGAAAGACTCTATCATGTGGGCATGTTTTTGTGTGGGCGTCTTTAGTCACATGAATTTCACAACACAGTAAGCGGTTTACATTGGTTCTAGGGCCTCTCTTTACACAGACGGGATGTTTGTAGCAAAGACTAAAAGGTCGACAGTCGTTAAATATGAATCAAGAGCTCTATTCGAGATTCTGTTAAAACAATTTCACCACACCCCATAATGCCCTGGTACGGCCGAGAGTGGGGAGAGTACTCCCTCTCGAAATGCTCTCACATGGCCAGCGAATATATAGCCTCTGCCAGGGAAGTCCTACTCACTGCCTTCTCGTGGCGGGGGTGTTGTTTACAAAAGTGAGAGGACGAAAAGCGAATGTCCGGCGCTTTAACCGGGTTGGTGGACACGGAGGGTCCACCTAGGGGAGTTGGAAAACTATGGGATTTGAATCGACAAATGCATCTCTGTGCTAATGTGGTATGACGACTCGAAGTGATGTGCATACGTATGAAGTTCTACGTTGTGACTGACTGACATTAACAACCTTAGTAAAAAACATGAAAATGTCTTAACACATTATGTGAAATGAAATGATGAATTCTATTGACGATACTATTCCTGCTCATACTAGAAGCAAGACAATTTACATTATTATTATTACCTTTATTACTGTTATTATTATTATTATTATTATTTACCATATCGCTAACACCCCCATTTATCCCCAATTTGTGTAACCCTCCTTTTCAACTTATGCAGCAGCTCGCCCATGGTGGAAAACCTGTCTTATCTAAACGATCTCCAGTCACTGTCTAGTTGAAAGTGAATGCTTCCACCGATTATGAATACTGAAGCAGTCTTTCTGAAACCACGTACGCCGTTCAAGCTGGCTTCCTTCAACGTTCGCGCACTAATGCATATCAGACAACAGATAGGGCTGGCTATGTCTTTGGATGGTCTTAATGTTGATTTTTGTTGTCTATCCGAGACCCGTATTCAAGACTCTAGTGAAGTACTACAAATCCGCTCTCCATCTGTCGCCTCGAAAAGCTTGTTCCACGTGCGCTTATCCGGGGACTCTGTGGTATCTTCGTCTGGTCTTGCTGGCGTTGGTGTCGCACTAAGCACTAGGGGTGAGGCAGCACTAATCGATTGGTTCCCCATTAACAGTCGGTTATGTGCTGTTAGATTAGAAAGTTCTATCAAAGTGAGAAGAAATCGGCGTGAGAAACGGTGTCTTTTCGTCATCTCCGCCTATGCCCCGACAGATTGCAGCCCGGATGCAATCAAGGATGAGTTTTACCATCAGTTAACAGTTCTTCTCCAGAAAGCGCGTTCGACAGATATTGTAGTACTAGCCGGAGACTTGAATGCTCAGGTCGGGCGTCTAAGCACAGAAGTGAGTCGTCTAGGTGGCCGATGGGGACTTGTTGGTCGCAGGACAGATAACGGGGACCGTTTGCTGCAACTGTGCACAGACCACAACCTGTTTCTGGCCAGCACTAACTTCCGGCACAGTCATCGCCGGTGTGCCACCTGGCGTCCTCCCTCTGCATCTCAAGTCTGGACTCAGATTGATCACATCGCGATCAGCTACCGCTGGCGTGGTTGTGTACAAGACTGCTGCTCCTTTTGGAGTACATATCTGGAGTCTGATCGTGCCCTGGTATGCGCCAATCTCACCTTACTTTTCAGTGGCCGAAGGATTGACCACCACCAACGGATCGATGTTAGTAAACTGGCTGCAACTTCTGTTGCAAGTAAGTATCGAGCGGAGCTAGCCTCTAGGCTAGCTACCACCCCACCGAAAAGTATAGATGAGCATTGGTTGCTTCTTCACGACGCCATGAGAATGGCGAGTAAATCACTGGGTTTCTTCCGGCTGCTTACAACTGATGGAAGCCCGTCGGTCTACTCCGGGTGACCGTGAGTTTGACCACAAACGAAGGCTGTTACGTAATGAAATCGGGCAAAGCTTGCGTAAGGACCGGGAAGCCTGGTGATCGGAGCGTGCTAATGAGATGGAAGCAGCAGCTGCATCTGGTAACTGCCGGAAGCTCTTCCAACTCATCCGAGCCACTGGCAGCAAGAAGTCTGGTGTGAGTGAAACAATCTACGAGGATGATGGGATGCCAATCACTAACATCTGTCGACGTCTTGGACGATGGGCGGAATTCTTCGAATAGCAGTTCAACTGGCCTGCTGCTCCGGCAACATCAACCAGTTTGTCCTGCCCCCATGGCCGTTGACGACTGATCCACCAAACGAGACGGAAGTTCGCACGGAACTCCAATTCCTGAAGCGCTACAAATCACCGGGCCCAGATGACTTACCTCCGGTTCTTTTTAAAGATGGTGGTGACTTTCTGGCTAAGGAACTGACTGTGTTGTTTGGAAAGGTTTGGGAAGAAGAAAGTGTTCCAACAACATGGAATGAGTCAATAGTCGTCCCTATCTTTAAAAAGGGTTCACGTTGTTCCTGCAATAACTATCGGGGGATAAGTCTACTTTCGATAGCTTTCAAACTATTGTCTTCTATCATTCTTCATAGGTTGTTTAAAACCCGAGAACGATTGACTCACGAGGAGCAGGCTGGTTTTCGTTCTGGTCGAGGATGCATTGATCACATCTTCACCCTCCGCCAAATGTTAGAACACCGTCATACTTATCGCAGGCCAACAATCGTAGTGTTTCTTGATATCAGGGCTGCCTTCGATTCGTTGGACAGGACTGTTCTCTGGGATTGTCTATTGAAGAAGGGTGTGCCTGAGAAGTTCATTAACATCTTAAAGGCCCTGTATACGAACACCTCAGGCAGAGTGAGGGCATACAACCACATTTCTCCCTTGTTTCATTTGAGCAGTGGGGTTAGGCAGGGTTGCCCGATCTCACCATTCCTCTTCAACTTTGCCATCGATGACATCCTGGAAACAGCTCCGATGGATGTAAGTAATGGCGGTGTGGATATGTTGCCTGGAGAACGACTTCTCGACCTCGAGTATGCAGATGATATTGTCTTACTGTGCGATAATGCCCAAGGCATGCAATCCACACTTAATCAGTTGGCAATCAGTGTCCGCAGGTACGGCATGTGCTTTGCACCCTCCAAGTGCAAAGTACTTCTACAAGACTGGCAGGATTCTCATCCTGTACTCACCCTGGATGGTGAGCAGATCGAAGTAGTTGAGAAGTTCGTGTATCTAGGTAACTATATAAGTGCTGGTGGTGGCGTGAGTGATGAGATTGATGCACGTATAATGAAAGCCAGAGCGGCTTATGCCAATCTGGGCCATCTTTGGCGCCTTCGTGATGTTAGTCTGGCTGTAAAAGGTCGGATCTACAACGCGTCGGTGAGAGCAGTTTTGCTCTATGCTTGTGAAACCTGGCCTCTCCGAGTTGAGGATGTTAGACGTCTCTCTGTGTTCGATCATCGTTGTCTCCGAAGGATTGCTGACATACAGTGGCAACACCATGTTAGTAATGTAAAGGTTCGGCATCGTGTGTTCGGGCGCAGAGACAATGATTCAATTGGTGTCACCATCTTGAAACACCGACTTCGGTTGCTTGGACATGTTTTACGAATGTCGTCCCAGAGACTTCCACGTCGTGCATTATTTGCCGACTCTGGGACTGGTTGGAAAAAGCGGAGAGGAGGTCAGTGTATGACATGGTGTCGTGGCATGAAAGAAAGCTGCAAAGGGCTAGCTTCTGTTGGTCCTTCACGACTCCTTGGTTGGGGTCCGAGAGATGGTGCAACACAGTGGCTAGAGACGTTATCAGATATGGCTCAGAATAGAAGCCAGTGGCGATCCTGCTGCAACCTTCTTTTACTTTCTACATAAAGAATGGTTCTAACTTTCCTAACTGAAAGAGTCTTCTGGTTGTACATTTTAGTCCGCGTTGTCTTTTCATCCTTTCTCTTCCTACTTTCATTATTTTGTGTGGCGCATATGTATCCGGTGCCCTTTTGTACCAATATATATGTGTTTAAATAAATTAAATATATAAAACACCATTAATTATCTATGGGGAGCATAGTTTCGTATAAAGTTTTCGTTGGTGTGTTCATATGTGCAAGCCTTATGCGAGGAACAATCAAGTTATACAGGTGTTTGTTAAAGTCTGTCAGAACTTCACTGCCTGAAGTCAAACCTACGGGGTTCGAAAGACATTCTGATCGTTTTGTTTAAGTATCATTAGTTAAATCCTTAAAGGATTGGTAAATTTTTCTCTAGCAAACCACAGGTTATGAAGGAACTATAGTCCAAAGTTATCAAAGTCACAGTTTATCTAACTGAAATCCAGTATTTTGTCACACAGTCGTATTTATTAAATAATAGCTTAAATAAGTAGATGGTAAACCTGGATTTCCCGTTACCTAGGTTATTCAGATTCAGTCATAAATTTGACTTTAAACTAGGATGTTTTAAAACGCATCTTAGCTAGCACCAATTTCTTCAAATGTTGACCTACCTATCAATGCGAGTGCTCGGACGAAATTTTAAACGTGAATGGAATACCCTGGCTAGGTAGCTAATTGGATCGTATAACACATGACAAACCAAGTCTCCGACTACTAAGAGTCACTATAGCATCTATCAGAAAGAAACTAAATAAAGTATGTAACAATCATTAGTGTACAAACGTGCTACCGATTCACTATAAAATATCAACTGTCATTTTACTTCTGACATTTTACGAAATGCTTTAGCAACTAGCTGTTGAGGAATGCCTCATGTTTAATCCAGTTGGTGTTTGTATTTAACATATTTCCGTTCCCATCAAATCCTTTAACACATGTGGTGCAGATTGCAAATCGTTGGATTTCCTGGAACCAAAACAACCTTCGATTATTTTAAGGGTTATGTTATAAAATCATCCGTTAGAGTAGAATGTGTTTTAAACTCAGGATTACCTTAAACATTTTGTTCAAACCCATCAGCTGCAATATCAGTCAGTCAGCTACAACGTAGGACCAGACACACATGCGTCGGTCCAAGTTGCCATACCTCATTAGCACAACAAGATGAACACCGGATTCATAGAAATAGTTAATTTAGTGGTGGTAATATATAAGAGAAAGGTTGTATATGAGGATATAGTACAGGAAGGAAGAGAGATATGAAGCAATTTTAATCTCAAGGTTTTAGAGAAGATAAAGAGTATATACACCTACGCCATTGTGATCGATTCTGAGCCATGTCACCTAGAGTCCCCAACCATTGGTTACGATAGTCAAGCGGACCCCAACCAGGTAATCTGCATCTGCCAACATGGCTCAGACTAGAAGTTAGTGACCTCAAACACTGATGCCATGTTTTGGTTTGGCCACTCCTAAATCTCTTCCAACCGTCCCCAATACTAGTCATCATAGCGCGTCGTGATAATCGGTGTTCAGGCATACGTAACACATGGCCCAACCATCTCAGTCGATGAAGATTCATCACCTCATCAACTGATTTACCATCGTTCCCTAATACCCTGCGTCTATCCTCACTATTACTTACCCGGTTATCCCAGCAGATGCGAGCAATATTTCTAAGGCATCTGTGGTCAAATACTAGTAACTTGCGAGTATCTTCTACTCTTAATGGCCATGTTTCACAGCCGTAAAGTAGAACAGAGCGAACTGATGCGCAGTATACTCGTCCCTTAATTGATAGACGGATATCTGGTCTTCGCCATAGGTGACGTAAGTTGGCAAAAGCCAAACGAGCCTTTTGAATCCGTGCTGAGATTTCGTCAGACACCAACCCATTAGGGCTGATCAGACTTCCAAGATAAGTGAAGTTGTCGACGCGTTCGACTACTTCACTCCCTATCCTTAGTTCGGGTGTTGACGCAGGCCAGTCCTGGAGTAACAATTTACATTTGGATGGGGAGAAACGCATCCCAAATATCCTGGCATTATTACTGAGTTCCAACAGAAGACTCTGCAGTTTGCCAGTGTCTTCACCAAACAGGACTATGTCATCTGCGTATTCTAAGTCGCTTAGTGGTCCCCCTGGTAGGAGATTAATTCCTGAAAATTCAGTCGACGAGTTTGTTATTTCCAGCAATAGGTCTACAATGAAGTTAAACAAAAAGGGGGATATTGGACAGCCTTGACGGACACTACTTAAGGTTATAAAATCAGATGACAGTTCGCCATAAGCTCTCACTCGACTAATAGTGTTCGAGTAAAGAACCTTCACAAGGTTTATGTACTTCTGAGGTACACTTTAAGGTATGATATACAACCTCCTCTTTCTACTTTTCAGGGCTAGCAAAAAGTTTGTACAATTACTCATTGTTGTCATTTTTCTTAGATCTTGTCTTGATATTTTAATAATAGTTGTTGCGGAATTCCTTAGTAGAAGTGTAATTTATTATCTAAGAAAGCTTTTGATGATGAAAGTGTAAACACTCGTGATGTACGTATATGCTCATCTAAAAGGTGATGCAGTAGTTCTTATACGACGAACTCTCGATTCCCTTGCATTCGCCTGAAATACTGTATTTTCAAAGGCACTTTTCTATGTAAAGACATTTCAGTGGCAACGTACGGAGAATAAATGTGAAATACCATGGAATAAACTGTGTTTCTATGGATGCCTATGCTCATATCACTATGTTTGTCAGACCCAGCTATTTAAAAGGGCTAAATGCTGCGGAAACGGTGTTTTGTCGTTTGACCGCCATTTATTACAATGGCAACCATCATTAACCACCTTCATTTATTAAGTGTTATCATGTAATGAATGACAGCTTATAATGAGACTGACGACAAATTTAAAGTTAGTAAATGTTTCTGGTGCTGTTATCTTGGGGTGCAATATCCTGCCACTGCTCTTGCCCTAAAACTGTATCACTAAATATCTTGAAAAGCATTCGGTATCAGCATCATACATATACATAGATCAGTATACACTTCGTTTACTGAGAACAGTAAATATCTTATTCTGACTGTCACTATTCACTTACTGATCAGTGATTGTTAGCCACCATCCTAATCTTCATCGTACTAACATAGTTTTTCTTTTTAGATATTAAGTCACTTAGACTCGCTGTCACATTGTGACGTGATCAATAAAGTTCGGTTAGTATTAAAGAACTAGATAAACATCGCATTGGCTACCACTCAGTAAATAACCAATTGTAAGCGTTTTCATCACTTGTTTCATAGCTATTCGTTTAGCTAGATTAGGCTTAGTAGTCTTCACATGGGATCCTTTATTTAAAGATCCCTTGATTTACTCATCCTGCTTAACCGAAGTCAGGAAAAATATGCTTCCACTATGAATTATTCGGTTTTCAGGATGATTTAAACAGCATAACACATACTGCATATACTCTAACTTTTGTCTCTAAGTATTGCTAAAAATTCCACTCTAGTCCTCATTATAGACCGGATTTCATTGTGTAAGACGAATGTTTTGGATGTTAAGTCGATTCTTTATTTATCAGGTTGCCACGTTTACATTTTCACAAGTTTTCAAACTAAACTAATTTTTATGGAGTTTGATTTGATGAAGTTTTCGATAGTCAAAATCTATAAATAGAGTGTGTGTAAAGGCTACTCAAGAGACTTTGCTATTGAATTGAGCCCTCGAATAACTAAAAATCAAGATCACTAACCAGACGAATAAATTTTTTAAGTAGTGAAGTGACATGTTTGTATACACAGTATGAACATACGAGCCTAATCTTTATACATCGTATTACATCCCTCAGGAAGTGGTGTGGGATCCTCCTGTGGTAACACTGGTAAGGTGATACTTTTGCTTCGCTTTATATATTCCTAAATTTTATGGCAAACTATGTTTTCGTCTCTTTCTACTTGCAACCTCCTCCTTGATATGAAATGTCAGATACTTCAATTCGCATCCCGCTATTTAAACTGATCAATTGTCGCGCGTTTCTATTCATAATGATGCGAGTGCGTGAAGCGTTCGTGTGCTGTGATCGCAACTGGCTCTAAATGTCGTGGTACGGTCCAGGATGGGGAAAGCCTGCTCCCTCGAAATGCTCCTATATGGTCACGCGTATACATAGTCGTTGCTAGGGTAGTCCTACTCGCATCTCCTAACGTTGCTCCACTGCCTTGCGGATTAGACCTGGGGAGTGACACCCTAAGAAAACGATCTGTTCGGGTCTAGGCACCCGGGCAGTATCCCTACCCTTATTTTATTTAAACGCATAAATATTGGTACAAAGGGGCACCAGATATATATGCGCCACACAAATCTCATTTGATTTGTGTGAGGGCTGTGATACTGCCCAGATGCTCAGATTGAAGCAGGTGGTTTTCTTAGGGGGCCACACCCTGAGCCTTTGACCTGAAGGTCTAGTCCACAAGGCAGTGGAGCATCGTGAGGAGATGTAGTCCCATGTAGCTGGTGACCAACGACTGATTCATACGCCATTCGTTCCTTCCGGATACTGGAGCCCATGTGCACCATTGGTGTAGAATGAGGGTTTTCTAACTCCCCTAGGTGGACTTTCCGTGTCCACCAACCCGGTTAAATCGCCGGACATTCGCTTTTCATCCTCACTTTCGCAAACTACACCCCCGCCACGAGAAGGCAGTGAGAGAGAGAGGCGTGTAACAAGAAAGCTTGGTCAGGTAATGTATTAGGTAGCAGTTAGAAAAGACAGTTGAACGCATTTGTATTGATTACGAAGACGTGTATTGTCAAAGTGTACAGTAACAACCAAAAGCAATTCGCCCCTGGAAATACTAGTAGACACTTTTAGTCTTCTGGAGCCGCAGAACTTACACTGGAAGAAAAAACAAACGAGATCCTCAGAACAAGTAAACCTACATTCTAGAAAACAGTCGGCCAGACAACGGTGATAGACGATTCAGTTTCAAGTGGACCCATGGGAATCAATTGAAGGGCAGTTGATGGGGATATATGATCGCAAATTAAAACTTATGGGAAGTAAATCAGCACTTCTCTAACTCAGCTGAACCCAATTTTTGAAGTAACAGTTGAACTTTCTAATGATCGTCTTGCCTAGCAAAATAAATTTGAAGAAAATTGAGTAGACGAAAAGCGAATGTCCGGCGCTTTAACCGGGTTGGTGGACACGGAAAGTCCACCTAGGGGAGTTAGAAAACCCTCATTCTACACCAATGGTGCATATGGGCTCCAGTATCTTAAGGGAAAAAATGGCGTATAAACCAATTGTCGGTCACCGGCTACCATGGGATTGCATCTCCCCACGATACTCCACTGCCTTGTGGATCAGATCTTTAGGTCAAAGGCTCGGGGTGTGGCCCCTTAGGAAAACCACCTGTCTCGGTCTGGGTAGCCGGGCAGTGTCACAACCCTCACATGAATCAAATGAGATTTGTGTGGCGCATATATATCTGGTGCCCCTTTGTACCAATATTTATGTGTTTGAATAAATAAATAAATGTTGATATGCTTCTCATAAGTTATAATTTGAGATTATATGTTCCCCATCATTGGTAAATAGAGTTTTTAAAAAAATTTCATTTCCCTCTTTTTTTAACGCTAGCATGTGCTGTTAGTGGTCTTGTTGCTGATGCAAGAACCCTCATAGAACGTGCACGTACAGAAGCAGCTCATCATTGGTTTGTGTACAATGAAAAAATGACTATTGAGGATGTGACTAAAGCTGTGAGTAACTTGGCTCTAGCATTTGGTGATGATGACATGGAGTCTGGTGCAATGGTAAGTAATTAGCTTTGATGTTATTTCCTTATTTGTTTTTTTAAAAACCTTACTCGAAATTCATCATGTACTTCAGTAGTGATTTAGTTACCTAATTATTAAAAGGGGTTTTTAATAGCTTTATCTCAATCTGAGCCATGTTGGCAGATGCAGACTACTTGGTTGGGGTCCGCGTGACTATCGTAACCAATGGTTGGAGACTAGGTGACATGGTTCAGAGTCGATCACAATGACTTGGGTGTATACACTCTTTATCTTCCCTTAAACCTTGGGTTTAAAATTGCCAACCCGGTTAAAGCTCCGAACATTCGTATTTGGTCCTCTCATTTTCGTGAACAACACCCCCGCCACGATAAGGCTTTGAGTAGGACTTCCCTGGCAGAGGCTATATTACGCATGGCCATGTGAGAGCATTTTTCGAGGGAGAGCGGACTCTCCCCATTCTTGGCCATACCAGGGTATTTCATAAATTTCTTGAAATTACTTCAACTACTATTTAGTTTTGTAAGTAGGCAAATAATATTTCGTGATTTTCATAAAGCTACATGTATTTAAAAATAATGAATAATGTTCAAATGAGGTCAACCGCCTGTATACTAACAGAGATATTTGCTTGTTGAGTATGATAAAATAAATCTGAACGGATTTTTCATCTGTAAGTTGATGTAATATGATAAGTCTTATAGTCTAATAGGCTATTTATTCATACAGTTACAATTAATTAATACCTTTTTAATATATAAGGATTTGTGAATATTGTAGTATTTACACAGCTGAAACCACAAATCGATCTTAGCTAGACCTCCATTGAAAATCTGGAAGCACTGGATGGTTGTTTCATTCTAGTGATTCTAAGTTATCAGTGGTGATCTAGCTAAGATCAATGTGTGATTTCAGCGTTGGTAATACCATGTTGTTATTAATCATAGGGATAGGCTCTTACAAGCTCGTGAAAAGTTGTTTTAAACTAAGGAATAAGTCCTCAATTCTCCTTTAACAAAAAGTAATCTGTATTAAATCCTCATTCGCAATTTGGCCTGTCCACGACCGATGGTTACGGAATTCAGCTTGTTGATTTTGAGATCGAGTGTTTGTTGAATCTTTCATTTGATCCAAGAACACTGTTGAAGACTCTTCTTGGTACTTTTAATATTGTGATGCCTCTGTAGTCCTCACATATGCTGAAATCTTCCTTCGGTATATTGATGAGGTACCCTTCTTTCAGTCTGTTAGCACTTCCTCTTCCTCTTAGATCTTTCGGAATATAATGCGAAGCACGTTTTCAGTTATTTCTATGTCTGACTTTAGTGCTTCAGTTATTTTGTCTCGTTCTGCTGCTTTACCATATTTTTAACGTCAGCTTTTTCATTGACGGTGCTTTGGTGGCACAAAACTTCCTGGCACGTTAAAATTAATGCATCTTAGACCCCTTTACAGTTGTTCTTCATAATAGCTTCCTCTTTTTTGGATAGATCTTGTAAGGCTTGGAATCTGTTACTGAGATCTGTTTTCAGTCTGTTTGTATCTAGAAGGAAGACTGTTTTAAACCTCTTTAACTCTGTTTCCTCAGTGTTTCATCTTGGTAATCACCAGATGGTGATCTGAAGCTATGGTAACTCCTCTGTTTGTTCTCACGTCTTCCATTGACCTTCCGAATGTGTTAATGATGCAAATGTGATCGATCTGGTTCTCTGTAGTCTGATTCGGTGAGACCTATATAGCCTTGTGTATGCGTTTGTGGTGGAATGTAGTGCTATCTTTAACCATTTTGTTGCAAATCTCTCAACTTTTCATTTTCGCAGCTATTTGAATGGTCCTTCGTGTCTCCCATATATTCCGAACATTCCATGTACCTTTATCAGTTGTTGCTCTTGTTATTAGAAAGGATAGTTAGGTTCGTGGTTTTTGCGGGATCTCGGCTAGTTGGGACTCGTTAATAAGATATGTCTGCAATATTCAGAGAACTAATGCTTCCTGCATGATATTGACTCGGATCACTCAGTTTTCATAATTTAAGATGTCACCCTTGAGCTGGGTCGCTAATAACGTGTACCACCACGATTTTGTATTGATTGATCATTGTGTAATGATCAATGTCATGTTTTTCTGGTCGTTGACACTGAATAGATTCTATCAATCAGGAGATCACTTTACTACTAACGGATTACCTTCAACTACATTACTTCTAAATGTAGAACTTGAAGATTTTTAATTCGATTCAGTGTGTGGTTAAGGATGTGTTTTTTTTGAACTGCTGTTAACGAATTTCAAAATGTTGAATAGTTCTTTGACTCTTATGTTCCATTTTGTAATGATAAGAACCTTTCATATTGAATTGAATCTATTGATTAACTTTATTCTATAATCAAAAATTGTTTGTTATGAATAATGAATTGTTTTAAACAAAGGGTTTAATATTAATTGCTTTGTTCAATTTTTAGTTGAAGGTATAATCATTACTCTTATGTGTGGGTTTGACTTTTTTTGAGTTTGTGTTTATGTATTTCTATGTGTATGTGTGTGTGTGTGCAAATATGCACTATGATTTTATCATAATCTACCAGTGGAGTATCTTTGTGTATGATTGATTAGTTTCTTTTCTGTACATACATAAACTAAAAAAAAGACTGATAGGTCCTGTGTTCGAATCTCGCGAGTGCGGGATCGTGGATGCGCACTACTGAAGAGTCCCATAATAAGACGAAACGGCCGTCCAGTGCTTCCAGGTTTTCCATAGTGGTCTAGCTTCAATTGATTCATGATTTTAACTATGAATTTTTATGAGTTTAAGGTAATTTATTGGATAAAAATTCGATTATTACTACTGAAAAGTAATGCATATCAACACTTGTGCCCCAGCGACCTGTTAAGCAATCGACATCTGATGTCCGCCCAGCAGCCTCGCGTCGCACTGCTCTTCGTCGACAGCACTCGCTACAGCCAACGCTGCTCCACCAGAACACTACACTCGACGTCGCCAAGCCGCTACAGTTAGTGCCTCAGCTGCAGATCCTCAACGGCGTCCGCGGAATAGCACCCTTCTCCCCCCTCCTGGTCGGCAGCGACACCAAATGTAGTGAACATAAACACGAATGGGGACAATCGAATGTCTTTGGATAAAAAATTACAGGACATCTTAGTCAAATCTGAGAACCATGCAGTAAATACTTCATTTGCAGAATGTCAATCAGTCGTTTCAGACATTGTTCTTTTGTTTCCACACCAATCGTTCTTCGTTCTTGTTCTTTTTTTTCGATCTTCTTAACCTTCGGCCACCAGGCATTTCACTTTCAATTGGTGATACATACCAATACTTATATCTGTCGACATCAGTAGCACATACCATAGTGTCACATAGAGTGTATTTCAAGGAGTGTATGCTTACTGAATGACTTTCTGTTATTTGGATTTAATTGTTAAATGTTACTAACTAATAAACCTCATCCATAAAATTAGTGTATTGGGTGAATTCCTTATTAATCACCATTCGAATTATACAATGAAGCTAATAGCCCCTAAATGCCCTGTTACCGCCGAGATGGGGGAGAGTTCGCTCTCCCTCTCGAAATGCTTTTACATGGCCACACGTATATAGCCTCTGTCAGGGACGTCCTACTCATTGCTTTCTCGTGGCGGGGGTGTTGTTTACGAAATTGAGAGGACGAATAGCGAATGTCCGGCGCTCTAACTGGGTTGGTGGACATGGCGAGTTCACCTAGGGGAGTTAGAAAACCCTGATTCCAAACCGATGGTGCACATGGGCTGGCTCCAGTATCCTGAGGTAACAAATGGCGTATGAATCAATCGTTGGTCACTGGCTACCATGGGACGGCATCTCCTCACGATGCTCCACTGCTTTGTGGATCAGACTTTTATGTCGAAGGCTTCGGGGGTGGTCCCCTAAGCAAACCACCTGCTTCAGTTTGGGCATCTGGGCAGTATCACAGCCCTCTCATTGTGAACTAGTTCATTATGAAGTCTTTAAGTACTAGCATTCATAATATCTGTAAGGTTCTGTAAACGCATCTTTGAAGGAGTAAAATCCGATAGTTATTATCTATTTAACATTGTTTTTATTTAATAAAGATTTTCTGAATGTTATTTTACAATCATACAATTTACTACTTATATCACTACTTATTTCGAATACAAATTTTTAGAAATACTTTTTTCAACTTTTCTTTTATCAACTATAATGTACGTTATCTAATCATTACAAAAGAGTCGTCCATTTGGCGTTGCTTTATTATTTGCTGGAGTTGATGAACGTGGTCCACAATTATATCATATGGATCCTAGTGGTACATATATTCGTTATGAAGCTAAAGCAATTGGTTCTGGTAGTGAAGGTGCACAACAAGCATTACAAGAAATATATCATAAAGTTAGTTATATTAATATTTTATAATGAATTAATAGTCATTTTGTTGTTGATGATGATGAATTATTATTGTTCTATCTAGAGCTTTGATGTTTGCTATGTCGCATACTAGACGTGCAATGCTTTATGGTGTAGGAGTAGGTTGGAAGAAAGCTAGGGGCGGCCAGACCAAAACGTGGCATAAATCCATAAAGTCGCTGACAAGTGGACTGAGCCATGCTGGTAGGTAGATGTAGACTACCTGGTTGGGATTCGCAAGATGATAGCCATCGATGGTTAGAGACCTTAATTGACATGGTTCAAAATCGTTTGCAATGGCGAAGGTGCATCGACTCTTTGTGTTCTGTCGAATTCTAATCTTCTGAATTCTTAATGTCCCTATCGTTTTTCTCTTTTCAAATTTATTTCACTGTATTATACTCTTTGAATAACTTCTTCAAACCCTAATCTTTCGGATTACTGCTTATACTCTTACTACGTTTACCACTATGGGATTTTAATCGACAACTGCATCTCTGTGTTAATGTGGTATGTCTTTCTTAATCAATCAATAGGGAAGCTACACGTCAACATTCTAGAATGTTCCCCTAGTGGTGATTGAATAGAATGTCTTCGACTCTTTCTGGGCTTCTTGAGTTTGCCAACGAGCCATCCTTACAATTGTTTATTGTGTGTAGTTTTTAGACGTAATACAGACTTATACAGTTTGGCATTTTAAAGCTACATAGTTAGTGCATATGGATTATAGGTATGGTTTAAACCAAAGCTGATGAACCAGAGGTTTGAATCTACAATGTTGTGGTTGAAAGTTAAGTACTTGAAGCTGTTACGACTTCATGAAAGGCTGTTGCCAATTTGTTATAACTCTATAAAAGAACACCATTGCCAAGTCGTTATGATTTTATGTCCGACTTTTTATCACGTGAATTATCCAGCAATCGGAATACGACTTGTCTAATCTTAACATTGTGCCAAATCAATGATGTCCGATCAGTATGAGCAGTCTAGCGTCCTTATTTGATCCTTTATCCGCCTAGCCTTTTCAATTGAGTCCGAAACACCAATTGCAGCTTCTGCTATGCGAATCATTTATTTCAAGCATTCTCGGTTTATATAGCAGACAGACAAACTTCAGCATACCATATAAATAGGAAATAACATTTGTACAAGATGTGGCTGTGAATGTGGGAGACTACAACCAATAAGCTGAATATAATTTAGGAACAGTAAATCGTATAATAATAATCCATAAGTGAAAATGCATCTTATAATAAGATGAATATAGATATACATAATCTAGTAGCTGAATAGTTATAATATAAGAATATATGTAGAATAAAAGTCCATTAATCAGTCAGATACAACGTAGGACCAGGAACATATATGCATCGTTCCAAGTTGTCATACCTCACTCATTAGCACAACAAAATGAACACCGAATTCATAGAATTAGTTAATTTAGTGGTGGTAATTGTTATATCTGAAGCGTTACTAATTCACTAGTAGCGAATGGAACAAAGACTTGTGACCGGAGACCATTAGATAACTATTCTGACGCGACCCAGACCCAGCTAACTAGAGTAAGAAGTTCAAGTTGGAAGCGGGGAAGTTATACTCCGTAGCAGGTGGAAGCACAGCAATCAAATAACTGACAAAGTCAAGCGTATATATACAGTAACCAATTATTCTTGGGCATCATTATAAAATAGTACACACAAAGAAACAATGGACCAATAGCGTTTAAGATAGTTTACAAGTGAGAAATATGACGTAAAGGTGAAAAGAGCGCGTTTGGCGCAAAAACAGCTAAATTCAAATTTCAAAAATAAAATTACAAAATTAGACCATTTACCAAGTAAGTTCTGGGAATTTGACATCCCCAACAGTAATATATAACAGAAAGATTGTACATAAGGATATAGTACAGGAAGGAAGACATATGAAGCAATTTTAATTTCAAGGTTTAAGGGAAGATAAAGAGTGTGTATACACCTGTGCCATTGTGATCGATTTTAAGCCATGTCATCTAGAGTTTTCAACCATTATTGGTTATGACAGTCATGTGAACCCTAACCAATTAGTAGTCTATTAATAGATCCTGGAAGTTACCTATACTTCTTTAATCTTCACTAGAATATAACAAATATAATGATGAATTTTATACCTTTTATTTTAGTTATCTCTAACCTTATGATATTGATATATACATTAATATTATAAGTAAATAGTGTTTTTCATTGTAGAAAGCATGAGTCAATTGAAGCTAGACCACCATGGTAAACCTGAAAGCACTGGACGGCCTTCAAGCAGTGCTTCTAGGTTTTCCATGGTGGTCTAGCTTCAATTGACTCATGCTTTCTACTATGAAAAATACTAAATCTCCACAAAACCCCTTCTGATAAATAATGTTTTATTAATCCTATTCAAAACGAAGAAACCTATTTATCATCTGATTGTAACATTCATGAATTATGTTTCCTTCTTCTCGTCTTTCTTCTTGTTCTCCTTCCTTCTTCTCCTCTTTCTTCTTCTTTATATGTTCTTCTATGTAACACATTCCATTGTACATATCTATCTATCTATCTAATATATGCCTAATTCTATTCTAATTAATGTACAACTATTATTATTATTATTATTAATTGTGATAATCATCTTAATATTGAATTATAATTACTGTGAATGAATTCCCCCAATTCAATGTTGATATAAAAGGGGGAAAGAAGAAGAAAAAGAAAAGGCAACAACAACAACAACACATTTTGATTACATTTATTTCTATGCAAAAAACAAACAAACAAACAATGTTTACAGATTATTATTATTATTATTATTATTATTATTATTATTAGTAGTAGTAGTAGTAGTAGTAGTGATGGTGGGGGTAGTAGTAGTAGTAGCAGTATTACTAGCAGTAGTATCACCAATAGTATTATTGTTAGTAGTAGTAGTGATGATGGGGGTTGTAGTAGTAGTAGTAGCATTAGTACCATCATTATCTTGGTACAATTGAAATGTTCTACTCTAATATAAATATATATCCATCGTACTGGGGTATATATATATATATATATGTTTTACTTTTCCCATTTCTTTTTTGCGGTTATCTTAATAATTATAAACATATTATGTCATTAAATATCTTTTATTATATTATATATCATTTCCCTATTATATATGTATATACATTAATGATTACATAATCAATTCAATGTATGTAATAATGGTAATAATAAACAAACAAACAATTAGTTGATTATATAATAAATATCATATGATGTAGTTGATCATGATGATGATGATGATAATATAAAAGTCATTATACAACAAATAAAAAGAAAGTATGTAGTTTTACTATTTGAAATTAGGAAATACCACTAGTTCAGGTTAAGAGTAAGAAATGATAACTCTCGTTATATACTATCACTAACACGGGAAAGTTTTATTCATTGCTTTCTTATGATGGACAGAATTGTTTTTTTTTTTTTTTGAAATTAAGAAAATGAAAAGCGGATATCCGATGCTCTCATTATATACAATCACTATCAGGGAAAGTGGTATTTACTGCCTTCTAATAACGGGGAGTGTTGTTTATGAATTTGAGAGGATAAAAAGTGAATATATGGTGCTTTACGGGGTTTGGTGATAACAGAGGGAGAGTCCAGTTAGAAGGGAAATTAAGAAATCTTGATTCCAAACCAATAGTACACATTAGCTCTAAGACCGTAAAACAATGAATAGAGTATGAATCTATTGTTAGTCACCGGCTACCATGGGACTGTATCTCCTTGGGTTGTTCCACTTCTTTGTGGATTAGAACTTGAAGTCAAAGGCTCAGAGTGAGACCCCTTAAGAAAATCACGTGATTCGATTTGGGCACCCAGATAGTATTACAGCCCATATATTCAATTCCCTCTTGTATCAATGGTTATGTATTCAAATAAATAAATTATAGGATAAAATGAATGAGAACAAAAGCAATACTTATTCATAAATACTATTATTCCCTCTAACACACAATTGTTTCCTTATGCAAATGCTAAGCATAATATCTTAGTTTCTATGATGTTACAAGATTGTACTTTTTTTAAATAATAATTGTTGAGTAAACGGTTTAAAGTTTTTGTTATATCCTAGGAAGCACCAGATACATATGCTCCGCACAAATCTCATTTGATTTGTGTGAGGGCTGTGATGCTGTCCAGGTGCCCCAAACTGAAGCAGGTGGTTTTCTTAGGCGACCACATCCGGAGCCTTTGACCTAATGGTCTGATCCACAAGGCCGTGGAGCATTGTAAGGAGATACAGTCCCATGGCAGACGGTGACCAACGATTGATTTATACGACATTTGTTCCATCAGGATCCTGGAGCCCATGTGCACCATTGGTTTGGAATCAGGGTTTTCCAACTGTCCTAGGTGGACCATCCATGTTCACCAACCCGGTTAAAGCGCCGGACATTCGCTTTTCGTCCTCTCAATTTCGTAGACAGCACCCCCGCTACGAGAATGCAGTGAGTAGGACATCCCTGTCTGAGGCTATATTTTCGCGTGGCCATGTGAGAGCATTTCGAGAGGGAGAGAGGACTCCCCCTACTCTCGGTCGTACCAGGGCATTTGGGGGCATATAAACCGAGTATGCTTGAAATAAATGATTCACATAAGAGAAACTGTAATTGGTGTTCTGGACTCTCATGGAAGGGCTAGGCGGATAAGGGATCACTAAGGACGCTAGACTACTCATACTGGTCGAATTGTCTTATCTTATTGATTTGATAATATCTTTTGAAGCAGTGATGTGTGTGAAGCACCATGACATCTGTTTAGTCTTAGTTGAATATGTTTCACTCCTCCTAGTATAAAACTTTAAGACTTTTTGGTATTTGGAAAGATGTGTAGTCTTATAGATCAGCCTACATCATTTTTAAATTTAGTGAATTCGTAAGAAACTCGAATAATTATTTACTCTGGTATTAAAAGCGTCGTATTACGGGAACGCATCCACTCTTTGTGTTCTCCCGGATTCGGATCTTCTGAATTCTTAATTTCTCTATCTTTTTTCTCTTTTCAAATTTATTTCACTGTATTATACTCCTTGAATAACATCTTCAAACCTTAATCTTTCGGATTACTGCTTATACTCTTACTACTTCTATCACTATGGAAATTGAATCGGCAATTGTATCTCTTTGCTAATGTGGTATGGCAACTTAAACTGATGTACATATGTACGAAGTTCTATGTTGTGACTATCTGACTTATTCATCACATCTCTGTAACTTATTTTAATTTGACTATAAATATCGACTAATTCTTGGTTAAAACGAGTTAGTTTATCCACCATCTTCAATGCGTGTCATTTTTACTTTGCTCGCTGATAGTTGCTCATGTTCTTATAGCTTTCTCACCTTCGTTATTTAACAATAAACTGTAGTTGACTTTATGCATCGTTAAGATTTGTATTATAACGGTTATCAAGGTGAACGATTAACGAAGCATGGCACTACAAACTATATACAATATAAGTATAGCTTAATGTTCAGTATATTAATTTGTACTTTAGATTTCTTCCATATCTAGATAAGTAATAATCTTCTTGTTGTGTATTTGAAGCTAATCGTGTGTGTGTGTGTGTATGTGTTTATGTGTAGATTCATAATTAACACTTGATCTCTTTCTTTTTTCATATGCTTATATATATACATATAGAATATGACATTACATGAAGGTTGTAAACATGCTTTATCAATTTTAAAACAAGTTATGGAAGAAAAACTTGATTCAACTAATGTAGAAGTAAGTTTATAAAACTTTTTTTTAAAATATGTTTCGGTATACAACTTGGTGTAACTAACTGGTCCGACTCTTATATAATTCCATTTTGAGTGACACTTAATGTTTGAACTGAAGTATTTGATAGGTGAACAACCAATACTTAAGTCTAGTGAAGAAGATTTGTAGCTCAGGTGGGTGATTTTAATGTAGGTTTCTTCTCTGAGCTGGATGGGTTTGATCGTGGAGCTTTCATCATCCTTCTGAACGACATCATCATCAGTACAAACTTTTTGATAGAAGTAAAGTGTTTGAATTTCTTCACATCTGTGATGATGTTGTTCAGTAGGACAATGAAAACTCCACTACCAAATTATCCAGCACAGAGAACAAACCTACATCAAAACTCTAGTCTAGTTAAATCATATTAGTTTTCATTCAATACAGTCAGTTAATGTATCATTATTATAAGAAGGGCTAATAATATATTATTTCATTATGTTACATATAGTTTTTGTACATACTTGATTGCTTTCATCTATAATCATCATAGAACTCAGTAATTTAGATTAGATGAATGATAACTTATTAATCAAGTTCATATACTCAATTTTAACTTACTGTCAGTTGTTTTAAGAGATGTTAGTGGAATGGCACAGTCAATTAATTAGTTAGTTACAAGCAACATAGAACATGATATATATATATATATATATATATGCATCAGCACAGCGAAATGAATATTTACGGTAAAATGAGGTTAGTCGAAGTAGTAACATTATCCATGCTAGTATGAAACGATAGACATAGAGAGTATGATTTGTAAAGAGAAAAGAATTCTAGGGATGTAAAGGAACAGAGTTAATTGATGTATACCATTGCAACTGATTTTGAACCATGTCACACAGTAATTCCACAGACACCGATCAGGTAACCTACAAATATCTATATAGCTCTGCTCAATAGTCAATGACTTCAATGAACTGATGCCACACATATTTTTGTCATCATCTAGTTTCCTTTTAGGATATTTTTACACCAGCGAAAATCTCCCATCGAGATAGGTCGTTTCAGGGCTTACGTATTATATATTCCAACTACCTCAGTCGATAAAAGTTCACTGTGTCATCAACTGACTTTCTATTTTTACCGAGTATGCCACATTTAATCTCTTAGCATTGCTCATTCAGTAATCTCAACGTAAGTGAGAAATACTTTAAAAATACTTATGATCAAACACTAGTAAATTTAGAATGTCCCCTATTTATATAGATTATTTGTTACTGCTATAAAGTACAGTAGTACGAAATGTCCTATAAACATTTAGCTGGGACTAGGTAAACTGATAGCTAAAGCTAGCTTGGATTTTCCAAAATTGTGTCACGCCGAGAAATAGAGAAAGACATGAAAAGAATGAACAAAAAAATGGATAGAACTAGAAAAAAAGCCCAGGACAGAGTGGGTTGGAGAATTCTGGTCGGCGGCCTATGCTCCATTAGGAGTAACAGGCGTAAGTGAGTAAGGTAAACTGATATTGCAACTACTTTACAAGTGACACAACTTAAGAAAATTCAAGCTAGCTTTCGTTATCCATGCTAAGACTTCATCAAACACTCGTTCATGATAATTATCTAATCGGCACGTTCAATTACTTCAGTGGTACAGAATTTAAATCTTATAGCCTTAGTAGTAATTTTGGCTATAACAGTAATGATTGATTAATTTTAAAAATTGTATTGTCTTTTATGGATCTAACAGAATGGGAACTTGTGGAGGGTGTAGTAATTTTAACAGTTGAATTCATTAGTCTATTTAAGCTAGACCGCCGTTGAAAACCTGGAACCATTGGACTGCCGTTTCATCATAGTATGAGACTACTCAGGAGTGCGCATCCACGTTCCCGCACACAGGACTGTTAAAATTATTAAAATGTCCATAAATCCCCATTCTGATAATAATCATATGCTCACTGGTGAATAGCTTCAAGGTGGATTTCTTGGAGTTCTAGTGGCGAGTCGTGACGACTGGAGTTCGATCTATGTTTGGTGTAGACAGTTATCCACTTCAGGCAATGAATGAAGGGTTGTGCAAGATCATGAATCGATTGAATGTCGGTTCAGTGGTATAGAGGTTAGACGTTCATACGCGAGACTGAATATCCTAGGTTTAAATTCCATGTGCTTGATCGTGAATGTGCACTGTTGAGGAATCCCATATTAGGACAAAACAACCATCTAGTAGCTCCAAGCTCTACATAGTAGTCTATCTTTAATTTACTCATGAATTCAATTGTTTTGATTGATCTAGTTCATTGATAATCTATTCTTCTTGATATATTTATTAGATGGCAACTGTTAGTATTAAAGATAATTATCATTTATTCAATAAAGATGAAGTACAAAAAATCATTGAAGAAATTAATCAATCATCATCTTGAATCTATTCTCTGAACTACATCTATTATAGTACTTATATATTTTTCCATGAAACCATCCTTCTTCTTCTTCTTCCTTTTTGTTTGTTTAAACGAATTGTTTGTATTTCGTTTCTTAATTGGTTTGTTTATTTGTATGTTTTATGTAAATTAATACAAAATCTAATGTTGTAGTCTTGGAATTATAATTCTATGGATATGTATGTAATAAGTTGTGAATATGATAGTAGTTTCAATAGTTGATATGATGAATCAATTGAAGCTAGACTATCATTGAAAACCTGGAAGTACTGGACAGCTGTTTCGTCCTGTTGTGGGACTCCTCAGTGGCAGTGCGCAACCGCGATCGTGCCTCGCTAGATTCGAACCCAGGACTTATCAGTCTTGCGCGCGAGTGCTTAACCTCTAGATCACTAATTCGGTATCCAACAGTTTTAATGTCTAACTTCAACCGATCCATGAAATTAAGTGACACATACACCATTATCTTCAGTGAGTTGATATCACACAATAGACCTGGTTGAACTCCACTGGTTATTGCTTCCCTCTAGAACTCCAGGAAATAATTCTTGGTAGGTCCTTGGTTCGAATCTCGCGAGGTGTGATCGTGGATGCGCACTGCTGAGGAGTTCCACAATAGGATGAGTTGGTCGTTCGGGGCTTCCAGGTTTTCAATGATGGTCTAGCTTCAATTGACCGATGATCTCAACTGTTTTAAAATAGTTAAATTTTGAAAAACCCTATTTGAAACTATAAGCAGTAGAATCCAAGACACGTGTTTTGTCCTATTTTAGAATCGTCAGCTGCATGTACTTACATCTCAATGTTGATGTTCACTCCGGGATTTCAGTTCATCTTTGCTTATAAACCTTGTGACGTAGGGCAATATCATGGTAGTCTGCACAGGATGCATATATACCGATAATTTATTTATTTATTTATTTAAACACATATATATTGGTACAAAAGGGCACCAGGTACATATGCGCCACACAAAATAATGAAAGTAGGAAGGGAAAGGATGAAAAGATAAGGCGGACTAAAATGTACAACCAGAAGACTCTTTCAGTTAGGAAAGTTAGAACCACTCTTTATGTAGAAAGTAAAAGAAGGTTGCAGCAGGATCGCCACTGGCTTCTATTCTGAGCCATATCTGATAACGTCTCTAGCCACTGTGTTGCACCATCTCTCGGACTCCAGCCAGGGACTCGTGAAGGACCAACAGAAGCTAGCCCTTTGCAGCTTTTTTTCATGCCACGACACCATGTCATACACTGACCTCCTCTCCGCTTTTTCCAACCAGTCCCAGAGTCGGCAAATAATGCACGACGTGGAAGTCTCTGGGACGACATTCGTAAAACATGTCCAAGCAACCGAAGTCGGTGTTTCAAGATGGTGACACCAATTGAATCATTGTCTCTGCGCCCGAACACACGATGCCGAACCTTTACATTACTAACATGGTGTTGCCACTGTATGTCAGCAATCCTTCGGAGACAACGATGATCGAACACAGAGAGACGTCTAACATCCTCAACTCGGAGAGGCCAGGTTTCACAAGCATAGAGCAAAACTGCTCTCACCGACGCGTTGTAGATCCGACCTTTTACAGCCAGACTAACATCACGAAGGCGCCAAAGATGGCCCAGATTGGCATAAGCCGCTCTGGCTTTCATTATACGTGCATCAATCTCATCACTCACGCCACCACCAGCACTTATATAGCTACCTAGATACACGAACTTCTCAACTACTTCGATCTGCTCACCATCCAGGGTGAGTACAGGATGAGAATCCTGCCAGTCTTGTAGGAGTACTTTGCACTTGGAGGGTGCAAAGCACATGCCGTACCTGCGGACACTGATTGCCAACTGATTAAGTGTGGATTGCATGCCTTGGGCATTATCGCACAGTAAGACAATATCATCCGCATACTCGAGGTCGAGAAGTCGTTCTCCAGGCAACATATCCACACCGCCATTACTTACATCCATCGGAGCTGTTTCCAGGATGTCATCGATGGCAAAGTTGAAGAGGAATGGTGAGATCGGGCAACCCTGCCTAACCCCACTGCTCAAATGAAACAAGGGAGAAATGTGGTTGTATGCCCTCACTCTGCCTGAGGTGTTCGTATACAGGGCCTTTAAGATGTTAATGAACTTCTCAGGCACACCCTTCTTCAATAGACAATCCCAGAGAACAGTCCTGTCCAACGAATCGAAGGCAGCCCTGATATCAAGAAACACTACGATTGTTGGTCTGCGATAGGTATGACGGTGTTCTAACATTTTATTATATCCCCTGGTGAATTATGAATGGTAACTAAGGATTATTTATCGACCAATGTAATATGCCTTTTTCCTATTGTACAATTATTACGTAACTAAACTATTCATATTCGTGTTTCTCTTATCATTAGCTTTATTTTGATTTATTATCATACGATTCTTAAGTTATAATCAGTTTATTGATTACTTTGGTTTGTATAAAAACCCAATGTGTTTGTAAATAATGATTCATATTTCCGAGGCTGTTATTTGTGTTCTGGACTCAAGTGGCTGGGCCAGGCATATAGGAAGGACCGAACAGCACCCAAGACTGCTCGTACGATTTTATGCATCATCATTGCGCTCCTCTCCAATTGCACGTTGATATATATTAAGAGGGCATACGTTATAACACATTTTTCGTAGGGTAAAGATGTGATCAATACATCCTCGACCAGAACGAAAACCAGCCTGCACCTCGCGAGTCAATCGTTCTCGGGTTTTAAACAACCTATGAAGAATGATAGAAGACAGTAGTTTGAAAGCTATCGAAAGTAGACTTATCCCCCGATAGTTATTGCAGGAACAACGTGAACCCTTTTTAAAGATAGGGACGACTATTGACTCATTCCATGTTGTTGGAACACTTTCTTCTTCCCAAACCTTTCCAAACAACACAGTCAGTTCCTTAGCCAGAAAGTCACCACCATCTTTAAAAAGAACCGGAGGTAAGTCATCTGGGCCCGGTGATTTGTAGCGCTTCAGGAATTGGAGTTCCTTGCGAACTTCCGCCTCGTTTGGTGGATCAGTCGTCACCGGCCATGGGGGCAGGACAAGCTGGTTGATGTTGCCGGAGCAGCAGGCCAGTTGAACTGCTATTCGAAGAATTCCGCCCATCGTCCAAGACATCGACAGATGTTAGTGATTGGCATCCCATCATCCTCGTAGATTGTTTCACTCACACCAGACTTCTTGCTGCCAGTGGCTCGGATGAGTTGGAAGAGCTTCCGGCAGTTACCAGATGCAGCTGCTGCTTCCATCTCATTAGCACGCTCCGACCACCAGGCTTCCCGGTCCTTACGCAAGCTTTGCCCGATTTCATTACGTAACAGCCTTCGTTTGTGGTCAAACTCACGGTCACCCGGAGTAGACCGACGGGCTTCCATCAGTTGTAAGGAGCCAGAAGAAACCCAGTGCTTGTAAGCGGGACGTTTCGCGAAGCCGCAAGCGGCTTTACTCGCCATTCTCATGGCGTCGTGAAGAAGCAACCAATGCTCATCTATACTTTTCGGTGGGGTGGTAGCTAGCCTAGAGGCTAGCTCCGCTCGATACTTACTTGCAACAGAAGTTGCAGCCAGTTTACTAACATCGATCCGTTGGTGGTGGTCAATCCTTCGGCCACTGAAAAGTAAGGTGAGATTGGCGCATACCAGGGCACGATCAGACTCCAGATATGTACTCCAAAAGGAGCAGCAGTCTTGTACACAACCACGCCAGCGGTAGCTGATCGCGATGTGATCAATCTGAGTCCAGACTTGAGATGCAGAGGGAGGACGCCAGGTGGCACACCGGCGATGACTGTGCCGGAAGTTAGTGCTGGCCAGAAACAGGTTGTGGTCTGTGCACAGTTGCAGCAAACGGTCCCCGTTATCTGTCCTGCGACCAACAAGTCCCCATCGGCCACCTAGACGACTCACTTCTGTGCTTAGACGCCCGACCTGAGCATTCAAGTCTCCGGCTAGTACTACAATATCTGTCGAACGCGCTTTCTGGAGAAGAACTGTTAACTGATGGTAAAACTCATCCTTGATTGCATCCGGGCTGCAATCTGTCGGGGCATAGGCGGAGATGACGAAAAGACACCGTTTCTCACGCCGATTTCTTCTCACTTTGATAGAACTTTCTAATCTAACAGCACATAACCGACTGTTAATGGGGAACCAATCGATTAGTGCTGCCTCACCCCTAGTGCTTAGTGCGACACCAACGCCAGCAAGACCAGACGAAGATACCACAGAGTCCCCGGATAAGCGCACGTGGAACAAGCTTTTCGAGGCGACAGATGGAGAGCGGATTTGTAGTACTTCACTAGAGTCTTGAATACGGGTCTCGGATAGACAACAAAAATCAACATTAAGACCATCCAAAGACATAGCCAGCCCCGTCTGTGCGTACGTGGTTTCAGAAAGACTTCTTCAGTATTCATAATCGGTGGAGGCATTCACTTTCAACCAGACAGTGACTGGAGATCGTTTAGATAAGACAGATTTTCTACCATGGGCGAGCTACTGCATATGTTGGATAGGAAGGATACACAATTTGGAAATAAAGGGAGTGAAAAGCGACGTAGTAAATAATAATAGTAATAATAATGATAGCGTAAATTGTCTCTCTTCTATTAGGAAGGGGGCAGTGTAGTGCGTCATTGCATGTCATTTGTGTGTGGGTTGTGATACTGCCCGAGTGCCCAAACTGAAGCAGGTGGTTTTCTTAGGTGGCCAAACCCGGAGCCTTTGACCGAAATATCTGATCCACAAGGCAGTGGAGGATCGTGAGGAGATGCAATCCCATGGTAGCCGGTGACCAACGGGTGGTTCGTAGGCCATTTTTTCTTTCAGGATACTGGAACCTATGAGCACTATTGGTTTGGAATCAGGGTTTTCCAACTCTCCCAGGTGGACCTTCGGTGTCCACCGGCCCGGTTAAGCGCCGGTCATTCGCTTTTCGTCCTTTTACTTTCGTAAACAACACCCCCGCCACGGGAAGGCAGTGAGTAGGACTTCCCTGGCAGAGGCTATATATTCGCTGGCCATGTGAGAGCATTTCGAGAGGGAGAGTGGATTCTCCCTACTCTCGGCCGTACCAGGGCATTCCTGAAAATATAGCTGTTGAATCAGGTCTAGCAATGAAATGAAGCAGAAATGAGTGAAACTGTTAAGGGGATTAACTTCAATGTCAATGATATATGGATTTTGAAAGGAATTCACCAAGTTCGTTTTGTCTTCAGTCTACAAATTCCATTCATTACATAGGCAAGTCATCTATGCACCAGCCAATTTTCAATCTCATTTCCTGATATGATTATTTGAATGTATTTATTTAAACACATAAATATTGATACAAGGAAGCACCAGATAAATATGCGCAACACAAATCTCATTTGATTTGTGTGAGAGCTGTGATACTGTTCATGTGCCCAAACTGAAGCAGGTGGTTTTCTTAGGGGGCCACACCCGAAGCCTTTGACATAGAGGCCTGATCCACAAGGCAGTGGAGCATCGTGAAGAGATGCAGTCCCATGGTAGCCGGTGACCAACGATTGATTCATACGCTATTTGTTCTCTTAGGATCCTGGAGCACATGTGCACCATTGGTTTGAAATGAGGGTTTTCCAACTTCCGTAGGTGAACTTTCTATGTCCACCAACCCGGCTAAAGCGCCATATATTCGTTTTTGGTCCTCTCAAGTTTGTAAACAACAGTAGTGTCACGAGAAGACAGTGAGTAGGACTTCCCCGGAGGAGGCTATATACACGTGGCCATGTGAGAGAATTTCGAGAAGGCGGTCCCTTTCTCTTCTCGGCCGTACCAGGACATTTGAATGTACAAGATATGAATAGTTTACGGATATTTGAAGATACTTCTTTAAAAAAACCACTTAATAAATAATATTAACAGTAAGGATAGGCAATCGTTTGATGAATCTGAGATGGTTAGAATATGCATAACTTAGTGCTTAGCAAATCCTTTTTATGGTATTCAAAATCGGATAGTATAGAAATACATTTAAAGAAAATTAGTAAAGATCATTCCATAACATTACTTCACATAGTTCAGTAATTTTCATGTGAGGATGGTCCATAGTTGAAGTCAAGGAAGCTTTAAGAAGCCCAGAAGGAGCCGAACATATTCCATCTAATCAGCTTTGATACGAATATTCTGGAATCACTACGTGTAGCTTCCCTATTGGACAATGCTGATAACTCCCTGTGTGCCGATTGGATAACTATAATGATGATTTCGTTTCTACTACAAAACTATAAATACCTGACATTTTTGTACCATAATCGACACTGTTTAGAATAACATTCCTTCTACTTGTCTTTTGATTTGTGACTTGAGAGGGTTCTAGCGTTTGAGTGCTAAAGTATTGTGCGATAGACTAAGAAATCTAAGTTCGGGATATAACATAGAACTGTGTTGTATGCTGCTTATATTGACATATATAAGTAGTATGTAACACCATTCAGAAATGAAATGTCAGGCAGCAGAGTACTGAATTGAAGAGAACAGGAAAAGAAATAGAGAGGAACTGTAATAACAACACAATTGAAAGAATCATGAAGTATGTAAGGGACAACTGAATGAAGATGTATAAATAATGTATGTGTTTACACATAGATTCATCACACACACCAAATTTCATGCTTCACCAACATCCAGTACACACTAAATATATCAATCGATCAACCAGTCACATCCAACCACTAATCCTCTATCTTCACATTTCCAGATTGCCAGCCTCACATCCACTCAACACATACATCCAACCAATCATGTTCAATTCGACCAACACCAACTCTCTGTGCAGTGAGTGAGAGAACGTGCTACAGTTGACTGTTACTACATGTCGACGGTTTCCAGTGTGTTGATTATCACGTCCCTCACACAATGATTTCATCCAGTGTGTACATACAAATCTACTGGATCGATGTGCTCGAATGACTCAGTGATCAGTAGGTGACAGTGGTAAACGTGGAAACCGTCTATATTTTACGGAAGTACTTCGTAACTTTTCATTAAACAGTAAATTGGTTATCCCACTTGAGTATTCGTTCACTTCATTTCAAATTACCTGAATGTAATCATTAAAATGATAGTAGTTGAACAAGTAATTAGACTATACACATTACAAAACTTCATGTTAGCATACGCCTAAATTCATAAGCTGAGTATTATTTCAAACTGAACGTTTGGGACTTGGGACTTGCCAGTCGGGTGTACCTTCATCCTAGAGTCATTGTTCACTCTGGGTCTCGAATCCAGTACATTTTGCTTCAAGCATGAATTAAAATTAGACCACCATGGGAGACATCGAAGTACTGGAAGACCATCTCATCCTAACATAGTACATCGCAGGAATCCGTACCCACAGCCACGCTCGCGGTAATCGAGCCTGTTCACCGCTGAGTCGGCCGGCATCCGACAGTGTCGATTTCTAACTTTAACCAATCCACGAAATTGCACCACCGTACATTATTGTTTTCA